ATTTTTTAATTTCTAAAACATTAGGTCTTTTTAAGATGTGTCTGTAACACAATTTAGTAGACATGTGCTAACATGCTTCATAAGCTATTCCTACAAAAATATTGATGTGGCTATGTCATATCATCCATTAATTCATGTGCTACTCAGAGAACAGAATTTGCAATGCTTTGAAATCATTAAAATGTGTGATCTACATAGAAAGGTTGCAGAAAAAATATGTAACTATGAAAACTTACATATCTAGGAATGCAATACTTTTTTAAAATAGTATTAAAATATTGCTGTACTTATTACAGCATATTTTAAAGTCTGAAATCCATATTCAAAATTATTTGCTCATAAAAACTTAATAGGTTAAACATAAATCAAAATAGTAAGCCACGACAGTTTCTCTTGTAACTACCTGAATAACTTACTTGATGAAGTAATTAACACCTAACTTTCAATGTCATCAAACTAGTCAGCTGGAGGCCAGGTAGTATTCATGAAAGTTATTCTCTAGTCAGTGATATTATGTATTTCCTGACTTCATCTATTTGAAATAGATTTAATACTGTGTACACAGTATTTTCCTGAGCTGCTCTATCATTTCACAGTGAGATCTATCACAGACCATCATTCTTCAATTTAGAACGTAATTTAGAATACAAGCATAAAAATACATCGTAAGAACCAAACTGACTTGGTCTAATTCTCTGTCTCTATCTCATAGAAAACTTCACAAACCATTACAAGTTGTCTTACTGTTCGTACATACATTTTATACAATGCGGCCAACCAACATTAGGCAGACTGTCCTAGAATTTCATATTTAAAAAGACCTCAATCAGTAAGAAATTATAGCCTGTATTTCATTTTTCAGAGATGAGTTTCCAGGTAAAGACACACATATTATTAGCATTAGTTTACTTGTTCATGACAAGTAACAATAGCCTGCAATACCAAAAACTATAATACGATTATCGTATCACAAGCCTTTCAGTACTTTCTTCCCAGGTAGTGCCTATATACTGAATATACATCCGTTATACCCATTTCAATTCTTCCAGAGGAGTCAATCTATCATAACACCTATTAGAAGCAAACAGTGTATGATAGCAATAATAAGGAATATCAATATGCTATTTTGAAAACAAAAGGACCTCGGACCCTGTAGTAGATATATATACTGTCATCTTCTGGTTTCTTCAATATTTTATGCTCCTTTTCTAAACACATGTCAGTGTCTATTTTCTTTGTAGGTGGTGGATATCTATATGAGCAGTGCCCTTGTAATTCAGAGAATCCTGTGTATCGTTTTCGCAAATGGAACAAGCAACAACCAACACTCACAAGGCGTAGGCAGCCCAAATTTTGAATAGATTTTACTAGCACAGCAACAGTTATTCAGAAGGAAACATCAGTAATAAAAGGCACAATGTCACAGCAACATTTCAGTTTAACTTTCTTCTGGGGTAACAAAACACTTGGATGGATGTATCGCTTTATTTTGTCACTTAGTTTACACAGGGAAAAGGGAAACTTTTTACAGACAAAAGGCTAGTTTTTTCAGAACCTACTTTCCTTTTCTAAAAACCCCTGGGAACCAAAGGAAGTGAATTTCTCATTTGTCCTCAGAAGGTGTTAATTAGACATGACTTAACATTTTCAAAAGCTTCTTAGCTCAGCTATACTTGCATTGTTATTAATTGGGACTTAAGTGGATCGTGCCTACCTTCATCATAAATTAGCTTTCTCGCTGGACTAAAATTTTGCATTAATCATGGTTCAAAAGTTTATTAGCATTTCAATTCCTAAGGCCTTTACAGAAATAGTGATTTATGGTAAAGTTCAGTAGAACCATATGGCAATACATTCATTGATCTTACGTTCACTAAAATTCTTGAATGCATTTAAATTAGGACTACAGTTCATAAACAAATTTCCTTATATAAAGACGTTTCATACACAAACATCTTCAATAAATGCTAATAGATTTCTAAACAGTGCCTTATTTTACTTTGATTGCCACTATCTTTGGAAGCGCGATGATCATTATGTTCTTGGTGGAGCTATAATATTTAACCAATATTTTCCCTAGAATCAATAATCCAAAGAGTAAGTCAAACAGTTCACTCAAAAAGGATTATTCATTGATTAGCATTCAAAGAAACAACTTGATAACATATTCAAAAAAGCTCTGATTTAACAGCTGAAAAAAGGCCAATCCGGTTCTAACATAGTTTCACGAAAGTTGCTATACATGACACAAGCCCATATCCTTTTCCTACAGTTCTCTCTTATTCACATGAATAGTGTGTAGCCACCAGGACCAGTGAAGCCATCCTTCCCCTTTATTCAGCAATTGTGAGACCACATCCACAAGCCTAATTTTGAGCTGAGTGCAGTTCTGGGCTCCCCAGTACAAGAAGGACATAGACATAACGGAGTGAGCAGAGGGCCACCAAAAAGGTCAGAGAGCTGGAGCACATGATGTAGGAGGACAGGGTGAGAGACATGGGTCTGTTCAGCCTTCAGCAGAGAAGGCAAAGGGGAAACCTTGTTGCTGCCTACAACTACCTAATCAGAGGATACAGAGAAAATGGAGCCAAACTCTTCTTGGAAGTGCACAGTGGTAAGACAAGATCAAGGGATGCAAGTTGAAACATGGAAAATTCTGATTAAGTATAAGGAAAAAAAATTTTTGCATGAGATCAGTCAAGCACTGGAACAGGCTGTCTAGAGATTTTGTGGAATCTTCATCCTTGGAGGAGTCTGACATTCACCTGGACAACCCAAGCCACGGGCAACTTCATCTAACTGGACCTGCTTTGGGCATCTAGCAGACTAGATGATCTCTGGAGGTCCCTTCCAAACTAAGTTATTCTATGACTCCATGAATAGCGCCAATGAAGGCACTTCATTTCAGTGTAACTATATTCACTGATGAATGCTACAAGAGATTAAGCTGTAAGCAAATCCTCAGTTGTTAAAATAACAACAAATGCAGCCATTTTCTACTTAAACAATCTATCTTTGCGTAACAGTGGTTATGTCTAATCTATTCTACTGCATTTTTATCTAATAAACAAAGAGTACAATGTCAGTGTATAAATGCAATAATCTGCATTGTCATCTGTACATGTGTAACATGAATCAAGGCAATGGAACCAACTCCAGACAGCTATTCATTCTGTGTGGACAGACTCATCAGATGTGCTTCAAAGACAAGTTCATCATATGATGATCAAAGATAAGTTCATCCTATGAGGAGCAGCTAAGGACTTTAGGTTTGTCCAGTTCAGAGAAAAGGAGGCTGAGGGGCAACCTCATTGCTCTCTCCAGCTTCCTGAGGAGGGGAAGTGGAGAAAGAGATGCTGAGCTCTCCTCCTTGGTATCCATGCATGGGAATGGTTCAAAGCTGCACCAGGGGAGGTTTAGACTGGACATTAGGAAGCATTTCTTTACCAAGAGGGTGGTCAAACACTGGAATAGGCTTTCTAGAGAGGTGGTTGATGTCCCAAGATTGTCAGTGTTTAAGAGGCATTTGGACAATGCCCTTAATAACACACTTTAACTTTTGGTCAGCCCTGAATTGGTCAGGCAGTTGGACTAGATGATCGTTGTAGGTCCCTTCCAACTGTCCCTTCCAACTACTCTATTCTATTCTGTTCTGTTCTATATATACACAAACCCACAAATTTAAACAATGCAGTGAAAGACATTAGAATATGCAGCAACATATTATTCATAGTCCCTAAGCATCAACTGTGAATGAAGTTGGCATCTCCATACACAAAGGTTGAGAAATGAAGCTTAGTACAAAAGTCACACTGTTGGCCATCCCTCCCTCTCTCTGCTCTAATATCTATGTGCCCATTTCTTTGCAAAGTCGGTACTGGCTCTAACAGTAACTTGTTACTCCCACACTGTTCAAATGTGCACGCTGGTCACTGATTCCCCATTCCTGATCCTGTGTCCTCATCTTCACCTGCTTAATGGACATATCCAAACAAAATAGTACAGGTAGCGGCCAGAAATAGCACTTCACAAAGGATTACCTTTGCCCTTATGCAACACACAAGGATTTTCTCAGAATCATCTTATTTCAGTAATTTTCTAAATATTAATATTAATGACACTTTAACTTTTGCTATTAATATTCATTAAGTATGATGACATAATAGCTTAGCTTGGCAGTGAACAAAAAGTGCTATCTGCAAACTCAGAACCACCTGAAGAGCTAAGTACAACCTCAGATGTCTCTGGAGTCATCAGACCTTTCAGGAGTGAAAGGGAAGGATAACACACTGATGATCTATTCTGTGCAGTAAGGACATAATTGTATTATCAAATAAGGCCTGCAGATGGATTTTCTACGTGTAGGCTGAATTTGTATCTTTTTACAGAAGACTAGAAACAATCAGTAAAAAAATGGTACAAAATAATGATTGCTGAAAAAGTCTGCAGTTTTACATTCTCCAATATCATATCAACTTACACAAATTAGTCCAGCAACAACAGTAAACATATGATAACAGAAGCTTTGTTTACCAACATGCATTATATTAAGGAAAAAATTCAGTAAAGCAAAATAACTTTCTCATTTACGTCACAGTAAGACATATGTTCTTATTTAAATAAAGTAACCACAACACAACACATGAAAATCAAAGTTCTAAGTCCATATATGGATCTCCAGACATTTACGAAATATTCTTTCTAATGTCTACGTAGCTTATTTTTCCTTTTATTGTTTGTATTAATACAATGAAACTATCTATTTCTTAGTAGAAAACCATGATTATGAATGTTGGAATTATATTTTGGAGGGATTAAATATGCAGTAAAGCTGCATCTTTGTCAATCTGTCTTTTCAGTTTATATGCCATAGTGTTGCCTGCAGTTAAAAACAATCATAGCAAAAAGAGCTCAGAAGTTAAAAAACAAAGATCAAATGTCACCAGCATATACTGAGATCACTTTCTTAAGCACATGTAGAATACTGTTTAAATGCTTACCTTAACTATCCCACGGATATGCATTTTTGCTATCATCTCTGCAGTGTAAAGAAACATCAATAGAGTATCAAGAGCAAACGTCACATATTGGAGAGGAGGATAATGCTCGAAGGTCTTTGGAGTGTTCATACAAACAGAAATAACACTGATGATGGCACAGATTCGTAGTAAAGAGTGTACCCACTGAAAAAAAACCAAGACATTGCGAGATTGCTTTGATGTTCAAGAAAAGCTCAAATACTTAGCCTTCATAACTTGTACTGGCACTTTTTGTAAACGCATGTTTGCGTTTTTCTTTTACATCACGATCCACATATTAAAGGTCTTCATCCAAAAATAAGCACTCCTGACTTTTATTTCCTTATATGTATATATACACACATATATGTATGTATATATATATACACACATATATTATTTTATTAGTTAATTTGGGAGGTTGTATAATTCAGAAATCAAGAATTAAGAGCCAGGAAACTGAGAATTAGGATTCTATCATTTCTATTTTGTGGCTTTTGTAATCCAATTTCTTTTCAAATGACAACTTGTCACATTTATGTGCAGACAATAAGTGGAATTAGTTGATGTTATAAATTGAGTGAATATATTAAATGAAAATATCTGTGGAAAATTTTAGTTCCACACTTAGATGAACTCATTTTTAAATCAGTTTACAATTCCAAAAATTAAGTAAGAGGCTCAGGGATTAAAAGCATCCTTCTATTTATGAAAAGAATAAACATAAAAGAGACTATGTCGCAGAAAGCTACTTCTTAACATCAGGATTCACTTTTGTTCCAAACAAGTTTTGTTGCTATAAGAGAACAGTTCATTTCTATGACTACTTAGGTCTCAGTCCCACTATAATCATTATCAATAAAGCTGATTGATAATTCAGTGCCAGTCACAGTGGGAGGTCTAATGAAAAAGCAGAATGTATCAATACCAGGGTTTAAGGTTGGATTTTTTTCTTTTAAATCAAAACACCATTGAAACATCTTGAAGCCAGACAAGTGTAATGAATCAGCTGGTAAGGTCGTTCTCTCAAAACAAAAAGAAGAAAAAAAAGACACTTCAGCAAGAAAAAAGTTCTCCAAACAAAAAACACTGAACTAAAGTGTATTTATAACAATTTTTCATCTAAGGAAAAATTCTACACTCATTTACACCACCTCAGGCCTTCTGATATCAAGAAGATTTAAGAACACTCACCTAATTTAATACTCACTGTATGCTCACTTAAGTGTAATGATATTTGACCCGAATTGAATAGCTCTATCATTTGCATACTCTGAGCACAAATGAATAATTTGGAAGTGGAAGGCACCTGATGAATGATCTCTTATGTCTCTTTAACACCCACTTTCTTTCAAACCTTGTTTCAACTGAAAAAATTAACATAAATATTAAAGTGTGGCTGATATAAAAACCGTTCTCTGCCACAGTAAAATGTCGGTATTACACATGCTAAGCAACATACAACTAGTTCATCAGCATGACAAGAAAAAAATTATTCCATTGAAAAACCATGTACTGTGTGCTGAGAAACATAGGTAAATAACCAGCATATATTTCTGCAATGACATTTTGAGCTTATTACAGCAGTCAATACAAATATTCTGTTTAAGATTATTTAGCATGAATTAATATATGGGTGTTGTCTTGTAGATGATTTAGGTGTTAAAACTCAGCAGCAAAGCAGAGGGGATCTGGCATCCATACCGCAAATGAGATGATAGTTCCATTAAATGAATGTAATGCCAACAACGTGTATTATTTCAGAATACTTGACTTTCTGCTTTTACAAAGTAAAAATTTATACACTACTTGAAGAGAAATGTGAAAATGCCTTCTGTGCAAAAACATGAATCATTCAAAATATAGGAATCCCAGATGCACACTGACTGCTGAATAAATAATTTAATCATTACAACCATATATACATGGTAAAGGCATTTTCTTAATACTGCACATTCTATTAATAATTCCACTCCCAATGAAGCTTTCCCCAGTTTCAAGTTGCCAGACACTTTTACACCTATCTGTTTCTTAGGGCAGGTTGTAGGTTAAATGATGCCAGAAAAATGTGAGCTGTACTTCAAAATAACCAGCCAAAATACACTTTTATATTCATAAGTGATGTAAAAGGAGAGATTTGAAAGTCAAAAGTGCCGACTGCTGGCTACCACTTTAGTAATGAAGTGCTTCTTTTAACATCCTTTTCAAAAGCTCATTTTACAAACTTAACTTCTAATTTCAATAAACATGTTAGGAACCACAGACATTGAAAGGATGGCTGTTTAAAAAAACAATCAGTAGATGAACTGGTTGGCAAACACTGCTTGATCATCCCCATCAGTTTGCAACAACCAAAAGAAACCTTTCTATTTAGTTTTGGACTTTTTGCAAAAAATGAACTGGTAGATTACCAACTATAGCTCAATACTTGTTTCTGACAAATATCTATTACAGATCTTTTGTGGAAGTCATATTTCAACAAAACAAGTCACATTTAACTTAAAATTAGTAACTACAGAAAGAGATACCTACTGGTTTGTTAATCCACAGAATATCTGCATTGTCTGACAAAGACTCATCGGGACCGAAATCTGTAACTGGCTGGGCTTCCACCCTTGAACTTTGTTTCCTTTTTAGCATCCTGAAGTTAACTTTTGTTATCTATAATCATGAAGCCTCCTTGGGGAGAAAAAAATGAGAAGACATTAATTCACTAAAACCATTTTATAATGCATTTTGAACAGTTTTATAAATAACCCAAAGCATTTTGTTTTCATGCAAACTGCTTTTGCACTTACTGATTAACAGGATCTTCATTTTATTAAAAAGCTTTGCCTATATAAATCACTGACATGACTCTCGTTAGTTTACAAAAATTTACATAAAGGTATGCAACGCAAACAATTACCAGAAACTTAGCAACGCTGCCAGAAAACTTGTACCAATATGCAAAGAATGCTATTGCTGTGAACTTAAACCCAGAGTAATCATTGCATGGATTTGACCTGGAGCCATTTAATTTAATGGTGACATTTCCATTTATTACATTAGGCTAAGATAAAGCCCAACATGCCAAAGGCAAACAGGCGATGTTAAGCAGCCAACACATGTTAAAGTTCTTTACTGAAATCAGAAGAGCCTTTTTGCTATATACTACTATTAACATGTATTTTTCTAATACTTTTTTTTATGTTAGCAATTATCTATCCAGCAGCCAGACAGCTGGCTGTCTCTGGGGCTTGTGTTGACACATGGAAGCACTGAGGAAAATGTGTCATTTCGACAAGGTCAGGCCAAGTCTGGACATTCCTGAGGGGGTGGCACTGACTGAGCCTTCTTATGCTCAGCGATGTGAACTACAACTAGCGGACACACCACGAGAGCAGAAAGGTGGGTTAGATCTTATTACTGCCTTTCCCACAGACACAGTTCATGGATCCCAGAGTCTAAATAAATCCAAAGAGATGAAGAAGATACACTCTCCCACAGAGTAACAGTCTGCCCATGAAATTTAATTCTGTCGTTCATGAAATACAATCCCTTAGGGATTTTTTTTCAGGAAAGTGAGGGGGAAGGAGAAAGCAAGATCTTGGGGACCTCGTTCTGGACCTTTCCTCTGGACCAAGCATGGCTTGTAGGTGATACTGCACTTTCGGAAAGTTTGTCAAAACTAGTATAAAATAGAATCATAGAATAGTTTGGGTTTGAAGGGGCCTTTAAGGATCATCTAATCCAACCCCCCTGCCATGCATAGGGACATCTTCAACTAGATCAGGTTGCTCAAAGCCCTGTCCAACCTGACCTTGAACACTTTCAATGAAGGGGCATCCACAACTTCTCTGGGCAGCCTGTTCCAGTCTCTCACCACCCTCATCGTAAAAAATTTCTTTGTTATGTCCAACCTAAATCTTCCCTCTTTCAGTTTAAAACTGTTGCCCTCTTGTCCTGTCACTACAGGCCCTGGTAATTACAGGCCCTGGTAATTACAGGCCCAAGTATCACAATGATGACTGCAACATGAATGCAAGAGACACTGTCCTCGATTAGCTGGAGGAAACAGCGGGCTCAGGACTGCAGAAGTACCCATGTGCTTGGTCTCAGCTGGCCTTTCCAACCACACAGGCTGCTGCTTCATGTCCAAACACTATGCACCTATGCATCCTTGGCCGTCTCTTCTTTTAGCTGTTATGGCAAACATAACTTACTCATCTTCTTCCAAGTCTCTCAGAGTCTACTCCTACTCTGTCTATTTTCTCTCTTTCAGATTCAAGAGGTCAGCCCCTGCCTCTGTAACTCCCTTGCTGCATTTTCAGAAGAGTGCTTTTGTGGTTTCTCCTGTGGTGTCTCTCCATACATGACAAGCTCTACCTGTGAGCTCCTTGCAAGCTTTACAAAGTTTTTTCAGTACTTTCTTTCGTATCTGTCAGTAAACTAAAACTCCTGATCATGATGACTGTGCTGTCAGTATGACCTTGTGTTTTCCTGCCTATACGCACCTATGTCATATCTCCTGTCTAATATTTAAAAACCAAGCCTGAACCATTGGTCTGTCTTTGTATACACCATAAAGCAACAGGGTTGAGGTCTTGGACTGATGCTCCCAGCTGGAGGAGCTGCCATTATGCAGTAACTGATTTTTTAAAATAAATAGAAATTATACAAAGGCACAAAATAAGGGACAACTTCTGACACTTTTATTTGTGCTGGATGGTCAGTCACAGCAACCTTAGTAGAATCATAGAATCATAGAATCA